CAAAAAAAAAAAAAAAAAAAAAAAAAAAAATCTATCATTTCTAAATGATAATGATTTCATGGTAAGAACCTAAAGAGAACCTAAAGATTGAACCTCTCACGTACAAATTCTAGATTCAAAAGTTATTATTAGTCTTTTTCTAATAGTAAAAATAGTAGTCACTTTCCAATAGGATGAGTAATAAATTGAGAGAAACTAAGAAATAAATAGGAGTATCTAGTAAATTATACTTTGTATTTAACATTTTCTTAATGGGCATGCTAAAACTCTAAACAACACTTAAAATGAGATCAGATAGGAGTATTAACTATTCTATTTTCGGCACCGTAATTACTGTTAACTGTATTATTATTCGAGTTTTTAATATAAAACATCTCTTAATAAGTCCGCAGTTGTTTGGGTATGAGAGAATTTCAGCAATGTAGGGTAAGCTTTAAATCGCTAAAAGATCATAAGTCTTGCAGTTGTTTGGTCAAGGGGTGGTAATGCTAATTCTGAAAAGGAAATTAAGAAGAGCTTATAAAAGATAATAATTGAAAATTGGAACTTAATAAGATCAAGTCGTTGAGGAAAAAGGAGTTATGCGAATAATTGTTATTTTGAAAGATTAGACGTAGAATAAGGAAGCTTCTAGACAGTTTGTCCAAACTCTGACGCTTCTGGATGAGAATAAGATGTAGAGCCAATTCCAAACTTGTTTTAAGCATGTTAATAGCTCCCTACTGGAATCCACATATATACAACACTAATTTTCGGTCAACCAAAAAGCAATTTCATAACCTAATACATTACTTCCAGAATGCCAAAATAGGTCTTTTAAAGCCAGTTTTGCAACCAGATACACTAGATGTTATGTCCTCTACCATTCTAAATCCAATCTGCATTCAGATTAAAGGGATGTGTCAGTGAAGCCTACCCATAGTCATGAAATATTTAACTTTCAAGTTTTTTTTAAAAAAAAAAGGAGGTAAGGGAGGGAGGTGGTTATAGAATTCCCTGCAACATACCTTGTCCAAAAGTATGTCTTGAAAATCTTCTGGACGGATCTTAATATTTTGATAATTAATTCTTGTTGTCTGCATAGCAAGAACAACATTAACATTTACAATTTTGGTACGCAAAAAAAAAAAAGAAATCCCAATATAAGGACTTCTTCGTATAGAAAGCACGCGTGTGAAGCTAGTAATATATGAAAGGATATACCTCAGATACAAGACGATTATCGTAGTATGATTTCCAAGGCTGAGGCTCCAAAATAAAGACACCACCCTGCTATCAAAAAAGTACAGTTAAAACATGAGTTTCTTTCTGTTTTCAAGGAATTGCTTCCTATTACACGTGAACATTACCGGTGAAAGGAGCCTCCAGACTTTGGAAAACAAAGTTATTAGTCCCTCATCTCCCCAGTTTAAATGCACCCACTTTGACACGCTTAAGCTGCATCCAATGAAATTCAGCTCTTCAAGCTCACATACATGGAAATAGAATAAAATTTCAGCACCCAACTTCATAAAAAGTAACCAATACTAAAAAACATACTATACATTCTCTTGCTTCAGATCATATGATATACAGAAAAGCAGAAAACTGGGTCTAATATTCTGTAAGAAACCCTCGGGGAGGGATTCAAGTGCTGATCAATCTATAGAAAAGCCAAAGATTGAGAAGCTTGCACCCAGCCCCGACACTCGGGCCAAATTTCCCAGTCCCCAAGAAAGAAAAGAGGAAAAGAAAGATCCCACAATAAAATTTAGAAGACTATTGCAGTTGATCTCAATTGGTAGGTGATGCAGAATCAGTACTAGACTTTTTTGACTCGCTGTAAATCTCAGAGGTTCTGTACTAGTAAATATTATAGAGCAGCCCTATTTTGAGTGCTGATGAATATAAATATTACCTTTCTCAAAATAAAAATGATATTCATAAGCATGAGAGTCCATAAAAGTCTCTTTGTTCCCCTCTTTTCACCATGTCTTTGTGGTGTCACAGATAGGACTGGAGCTAAAGGAAAACAAGACAGAATCCACCCAAATCATACTCACCTAGGATTTGGTAACGAAAGAGAAAATGTTCTCCAGCTAATAAACTCTTAAAGCTTTTGCACTGTTCTTGTTCTTTTATCACCTTGTTCTGCTTACATAATTTGCCTCTAACGCCAAAAGAAGTGCACCTTTAGAATAAAATTTTGGGTGATTTTGAAAAGGAAACACAAGTTCCAACAATATAACATCTTGGTTACCTTTTCGCAGAAGGATTGCAATTGACTAAAAGATTTCACATCTCTTGAACCATACAGGGAAGATGACGTTAAAGAAAAAGAAAACTTACCAAATAATTGTATCATAAGATGTATTGTCTCTTGGATGCCAATTCTGAATAAAATCTCCTTTCTTGAAGGAGACTATGTCAAAAAAATCTCCCTCTTGCAAATGATGAGGTGCTGTACAATCATTCTTTGCCCTTTTATTAAGTGACTCTGCCACGGGGTCTGTTAAACAATTTACAGTATTTGATTCTGCTAATTTGTCACCCCCTGCTGGCACTGTTCTCATACTCTTCACTTTTCTCCTGAGAGTCCAATAGGCATCATTAACTCTGGCTGGAAGAGGTGAAAAGAGAGAATAAAAGTTATAAACTACATCCTAGCAACTCAAAGTCAAATGCTAAATCCATCAGATCACACATTACTTAAGATGCCTATATGGATAACAGAATATGATATTATCGGCAACTATGGCAATAAGTCGCAAAAGAGATCAAGAGGCCAAATTTATACAATAATAAGAAGGAAAAGAAATTAAAGAGCGACTGTGACACAACAATCCGACCAACCGCACATTACTATCACTGCACAAAACAATTATTTGGTCCATCCAATTGCACAGGAAAAATCAACAAAATGCACTATGTGGGTTCAAAATCAAATACTAACAAATTCCCGTTCAGCTGGTCTCTAATAAAGACTGATCCATGAAAGTAACATTTGTGCAGTTCACAAATTGCATGACAATTTGTTGGCATCTTAATCAGCTCGTGATTTCTTCCGGAAATAATCAACTACATGTGAACCAAATGTGTAGACCAAATGAAAAGTTGAAATACTTACCACCATCAATGTCAATTCCAAGGATGCTTCGGCAGCTAAACTTTTGTGCTGTAGTCAAAAAAGGATAACTGATATTAACAACAGACAAAAGAAAAGGGAAATGTGTAACCTCTATTGGTGGACGATGTTAGCAGAGATATCAAGCAAAAATCCCACATGCGACTAAAAGCATTAAGGAGAAATCCTAATTCAGAAACAGATATGCAATTAAGAAACTTTTACCAATGGCGATTGTGATCACTCCACTATTACAGCCAATATCAAGACAATCCTTGCCTTCAAACCACTCCTTCTTCATAGCTTTTAACCTTGGATCTTCTTCCAAATCCTGACCAATCTGTACACAAAAAATACCAAATAGTGAGAGTTCAACTAAAAGGTATGCAGTGATGATCTTGCTCAAAATTATGTATGGACTTATGATAATTGAATTTAAAAAAAAAAAACTAAAAGGTAACAAAACAAAATAGAAATTCTGAGCTGCTCCCAAATTGCTTCAACTTGGGAGCAGTAAGATTTTCCGGAGATAGCACAGGCAATAGAAACCTAAATTTAGCTGGAGATGATGTCCCTACTGATATTCTTCCATACATTAATATGTAGAAAGTGACAAGAAAATAGATAAATGTTTCAAACTCCCACCTCCAAAGAAATTTACTAGATGGGAGAAACTTGATTCATTATTCATGTTTAAATAAACTGATTAATTTCTTAGACTGCTTATGTTTGTTATTGGAAAAAAATATAAAGGTGGACGAAGGCAGATGAATATTTTTTAAAAAAAAAGATAATGTAAGCGAATATTTTGAGTAACAGAACAATTGGAACCTCAAAAGACCACAAGAGTTTTCTCAAAAGGGGATGGATAAGACACTGAAAACGAGATTCATAGTTCAAAAATCAGCTAAATCTCCACAGACAATGTTTTAGGGAGCACTAAAATCCACAATGCTAAGCACTGTGAACTTCTCGTGGGAACCAGCTCACTTGGTAAGCAGACTCACCTTCCACCTTGTAGTTTAGTTGGATGGTTCCAATCCCATACATAACATCTCCTTCCCCTTTACCGTTCGCCCGTCCCCAATGTAATAATAACAACAAAAAACAAAAGAATAATAAAAATTAATTTAAGAAAAGAAAGTAAATTTGGTTTTTTTATTCAAAGGTGTTATTTTGGTCTTTAGAAATGTTCTGTTTTGTTCTTTTGAAAGACAACTTTATTTTTTGGTGAGTGAGATTTTGAATCCCCTTGACATTAAGAAAATACAAGAATAGTAGTTAGGGGGGAGGGGTCAAAATTGTTTTAGGTCATATGTTCAAATTACAACGGTAACATCCTAGAATATTTTTGAATCCCCTTGTATAAATTTTCGGTTCCGCTAGTGATTCCACCGCTACATTNATGAACCAAACAAGTATGTTTCTGATTCAAAAAAACTTTAAAGTTGCTGACACTACCTTAAGACTGTTAAGGAAAAACTTTTAGTGTCTCACCTTTGCCCCTAAAAACTACAATCCATTTGTGCTAAAGAGAGGGTCAGTTGGTAAAAGAAGGAAAAAAAAATATTTTTCCTTACAATAAGGATTATCTTCCTCTGTAAGAGCTCTCCTTTCCAACATTAGATCTATTCATCAACTAAAGAATTATTAACTTGAATCATGTATTCTTTAATATAGCTTTCGGCATAAAATCACGATTGTATTCCCCTGCCTTATTAGTCATGAGACATATCAAACATTACCTAAGATGAGGTTTTTTCATATAATTGTGGGTATCTAAGCAAGTTGTGCCCACCTTACCTATTCCACCCATTGGCGGAACTAGGTAGAGTGAAGGGTGTTAAACCGACACCCTGTCAGCGGAAAATTACACAATGTAAATAGAGTAAAATTAATATTTTTTGGTTATATGTGAGATGTTGAATCCCCTTTACATGAAAAATACAAGAATAGTAGTTAAGGGGGGTTCAAAATTGCTTTAGGTCATACGTTCAAATTACAACGGTGACATCCTAGAATATTTTTGAATCCCCTTGTATAAATTCCCGGTTCCGCCAGTGATTCCACCCCTACATTACAGAGTAACTATGCTCATGAAGATACGGGGTAACTCTCCCCAGGTAACTAAACTCACCAAGGCTTAAGGTTTTGCCTAGATGGGATTTATTTCCTTACATGGAATTTAATGCAAAACTCATCCATTAGCACCCACAAACCAAACAAGTAATGGGAAGGGTATGTAAAAATAGAGAAAGAGGGAGAAGAGAAAGGCTTACTCTATAGCCATAGTAGTTTCTGTAGTTACCATAGAGAGCAACTTCTTTACGTTTTTTCTTCTGTGTCGTCGCTGATGTGTCCTGCTGTTCACCGCCTATTCTTGCTCGTTGGTGCTCCATGGAAATATGGAAAACCAAAAGGGCAGATGATCCAAAGGGTTTATGCACTCGATGGGGTTTTCAAATTAGGGTTTTAGCCGGCTCTTTATACAGCTGTAGGGAAAACAAAAACGCGGGTATTATGTGACTTATATAGGGTGAACGACACAATTAACTACAAAAATAAAATTATTTATCATTGCTTATTCATTTACTTTTATACCCATCAAACTAATTAATTTAATTAATTTTCCTCTTTTTCTCCTTTTCTTTTTTCCTTCTTTTCTTTATTTTCTCTTTTTCTTTTTTCTGTTTTCTTCTCTCTTTTTTCTCCTTTTTTATTCATTTATTTTTTGTCCAAATCATTTATTATTATTATTATTATTATTATTATCATAATTTAATTTCACACTCAATTTTTGCTCCTTTATTATTTTTTTCTTTTTGTTTTCTTTTGTTTATTTCCTGTTCCTTTTCTAATTTCATTTAACTCGTATTTTCTTTTATTTCTTTCTTTTCATAATCTAATTTCATTTACTTTTTTTGCTCTTTTTATTTTTTATTTATGTAATAAGAAAAGATAATTGATACTGAAAATATTTGTTCATATTTTTTTTAATATAACTGGTATAATATATATTTTATCTTTTTAAATTTTTTTATTCAATTATTAAAATAAATTATACATTATAATTATTTTCTCTTCTCTTTTTTGCTTTTATTTTTTTGCTTTTTAAATTTTATTTAATATTATTATTTCAAAAAATAAATTTATTTCCTTCTTTTCATAATCTTATTATGCACACATCTTTGGCTCGTTTCTTTTTTTTTTTTTATTTGTATTTTTATATATATTTATTATTATTGCCACACCTCCTTTTTCCTGAAAGGATAGGGGAGATTTTCCAATTAAAGTGACATTAATCGAAATGGGATTATTTATTTATTTCAGAGTCGCCACTTGGGATTTTTGTTATGGTGTCCCAAGTCACCTGTTTATTTTAAATCCCAAATCGAGAAAATTTGACTCTATTTTAAAGTGTGCAAAACCAGAAGACCGGATAAGGAATTCTGTTAACTCGGGAGAAGGTGTTAGGCAATCCCGAGTTCCGTGGTTTTAACACGGTCACTCAACTATTAACAATTGGTAAATATCTGATTTATTACATGTTTAAGACTTATGTGCACTTTTACCTTCGAACCACTTTTAATAGAGTTTTAAATGCTTTTAAGATTTATGGAGTTCATTTGAATAAGTCGCGATGTCACGCACTTATTGTTTTTGTACACATTGTTGAATCGCGCCACGTGAAACGCATCCGAGGTTCGCAACGTGCTTATTTTTATTATTATTTGAAGTTATGGTCGAGTCACGTGAAACGCACACTCGAATTGGTATTTACGTATAGTGACCATGCCACAGGAGTCGTGCCCATAGCCACGATGATTAATTTAAGCGCGCCTAAAGCAAACTACGATTGTTCATGAATTTTTTTTTTCTAATTTGAGATTATTGTAGGGCCAAGAGTTTATGGAAATTAGTTGTGGAAGTAAGGAAGTAATCAACTTTGTTATTAAAGAAGAGATGGGCCAATAGCACATTATTACCAAGGTGGGCCTGGCAGAGGATTTATTTGACCCAACTATTCATTTATCAAATTAGCCAAAACTAAAAGACCATACCATTCTAAACTTAATCTAATTTTCTGATTTTTTCTAAGATAATCAAATGGCCCAACTAGCTTAAATACTAATCAAACAACCCCTCAACTAATAACAGCAACTCAAACCTAAATAATCCTTACAATCAATTTATCAAATTTATGCCAACTCTCTGACATTTCCATAGTGATTAAAGAAAATCGTCTTTTTTGAGAAACAAAATGGCTGAGCACAATGGCTCCCGTTAAACCCATAAAAGAGAAAAAGTCGTTGAGCACAATGGCTTTCTTATAAGTGGATTGATCAGCCAGTAATGTTCTATGGGTCTAGAGGAATCTGCTATTGTATGGACTTTGTTTTATATAAATAAATAAAAAAGTGTATAGACTTTGGCAGACAGCTTAACTCAGGAAATTGGCTGTGACGTTAGTCTGTACTGTAGTATAGACTTTCAGTAGTTTTTAACTTGAGACAATTAACTGTGACATTTACCAAAAATAGAAATACAGCTAATACAATAAATATGCTCACGTTCAGGGAGTCACACTCAATCATCCATCTTATTTTAGTTGAGTTTAACAGGTATGTATTCAGTACTTAGGCCAAATCAAAACATAAAAATTCAAGTATCAGCCAAATGAACTTAGCAAAACAGCCATGGATTCAAATAATGACTTCAAATGAACTAGAGAACAACCATAGTATCCATAGCAAGGCAGATCTGACAATAGCTTTAAGGAAAAACATACCTAATAGCTCGAGGATTAAACTTAGAGGAAAAGAAAGCCAAATAAAGGCTGGAACAGCGAATTGGAGTCCAACTATGCAGAGAACAGTAAAATCAGCAGCACTTTTTGATCCAAAATGTTTAGAAAACCAGAAACATAGAGATAAACTGCTGCAACCTCAATCAATTCAGAAATATCCTTTCTATCCTCCCTTTTTTTTTTAATGTTTTCTTCTTTTGTGAAATTTCAGTGTTCTAAATTAGAGAGTGCTCTTTTTTTCTTTGGCTCTTGCGTGTGTGCGAGAATCTGTAGGAGAAGAGTGAGTGAGATGATAGAAGGAAGAGGGGTCTGGCGGCTTGGAGGGAATGGAGAAGAAGAGGTCAGCGGCTGCTAGGTTTTCCGGTGGGGATCTGATTGTTATCGTTAGGGTTAGGGGAATGGGAGTTTTTTTAATGAGATGGGAAAAGGGGAAGGGACTAGTTGGGCCAGGCGGGTCAGTGAGGATTGGGCTGGGCGGACGGATTTAACAGTTGGGCCGCCTCTTTGGCCCAATTCTATTAAATAGGAGGGCAGCCAATTTCTTTTCTTGTTATAAATTCTAAAGTGGCCACCTTATTTAAACTAACCCTTTTTACAAAATTAGCCTACAAACTAATTTCCTAATTGAACGATTATTTAACTATTTTAACTCATTAATTAAAACTAAAATGCTAAACAAGGCAAAATAAACTAATGTATTTCTGTATTTTAGTAATGCAAACTAAATATTAATAGTGCAAGTAAAAATCTAAGAATGCAAAAAGCAAAAGAGAAAATATTTTTGATCATTTTCGTGATTTGAAATGCTACTAAAACACGCTAAAAGTGCAAATGAATGCCAAACAAATAAAAATAAAAGTTCCTAAAATTCTACAAAAATAATTAAAATTATTTTTGAATTTTTTGGGAGTAATTTGTATTAGGGCAAAAATTAGGTGCTCACAACTGCCCCTCTTTGCTCGGAAACACGAAGAGTTTTCCGGCAAAGATAAAGTGAGCAATCATGAACAATTTTTGCCCGTTGGATACTCCTTTGAAAGCATTTTGAAAAAGTTTGACTGAACCTTGCTTCGGAGGTTGCCTACATATTCTTGGCTATAAAGAAATCAGGTTAGTGTAGTTCTGGAAATTTTGGTAGTTAGGACTATCGAGATGCTGTGATTTCATTACTGCTGCTGCTGTTATTGCTTGTTGAACTCCTTATTACCCCAAAGTCAAAATGAAAAGAAACTAAACAAGTCTATCAGTTATGAGTTACAAGGTTCATATCTCTAAGTCTTCTGAAACTTGATCTTGAGTCTTGGCTAGTTCTTCATGCAGACTATGATTTGAACCTTGATGTTTGCTAGATACAGGTGCTAGTTCATTCTTCTTTGGCTTTTTCGGATCAAGACAGGACATGCAAATCTTGTGAGTTTAGTCATGTCTTGAACAGTTCACATCTTTTCTCCGCTTCTGCACTTTGGATTCACTTCTTTTCTTTTCTTTTCTTTATTTTGGATTGAGACGTCTTATTTTAGTCATCTCGAACCATGTGCCTCGAGGTAAAAACCTGCTCAGACATCAAAACAAACGAACAAACGAAATTTTTCTGACCCATTTTTCACTAGAAAAATTTTGTGAGTTATTTGTAACAAAACTCAATGCTACTTCATTATTGAAAGCAATAAAAACTCGGAATTACTAAAATTGCAAAAAAAAAAAAAAAAAAAAAAAAAAAAAAAAAAAAAAAAAAAAAAAAAAAAAAAA